GTAGGTATCCTAAATTAAATTTGTACACTAACATCAGTTAAAACAGAAAACAACATAACACAACTCTATATACGAACACAAATAAATCTTAATCACATTATATGCATATTTTCATAAACATCAAAAACTGTTTTATTACCTACTCTTTTTTAAAGTTTTCTTTAAACCACTCAAATATTTCCTGTTTTTGTTTAATTTTTTCAGTGTGTCTTTCTTGCCTTCTATTCTGAATATCGGTAAATGTATATTTGATCTTTTTTGGTGAAACTTCTGGTAGCGCTGTACCTTTTAATTTTTGGTCATTGATGTTTTTTCGAGTTTTCGTCATTACCTTCTTCATTTGAGAAAATTTCCAGTTGAGTTTCGGTCAAATTTCTTTTTTAAAAGAGCCTGTGCTATTAATTGAGAATATTGGGTTGTAATGAGGATCTTTAAAGAATATCTCATGGAAGTCATCGAAAAATATCCAATAATTACCCCCTGAATTCCCTGTACTGTTTTTTCCTTTAATGTTTTTTCATACGTTTTCTTTAAATTCCTCCATTTTTTAGAACACTTTTCCCCAGATTTATAAATTTTTATTTTTTCATTTTTTCACTTAAAATTTCCCACACTGCTTTTTTGTATTGATGTGATTCAAATTTATGTTTGTTTTCTTTATAAGTTGTTATTAAAAATTTGGTTGCTTCATAAGTCCAAAAATCTTTACCAACAAAATAGTATCATCATCAGCTTTTTGAATAGCTGTATCTGTTGTTTGCTAGATCCTGGAATTGGACCTTCAAGAGTAATATTAACATTATGTTTGTTTTTTTTTCAGCATTAAGACCCCATAATTTTTTATTTTCCAAGTCCAATGATACATTGTCAAATTTCTCCAAACACGAATGACTTAAAATATATGTGGACATTAATTCCTTAAGCGTTCCTAAATAATGGTTGCAATAGCCATATGAGATTTACAAATCACTTGGAATGCTTACTTCCTCCTAAAAAAGTATTACTAATTATTATAATCATGTTTCAAAATGCAAGCATAGCCACTTACCATAACTTTCAGAAGCAGCAAAAATAAAAACTGGGAACTAGAGCAGGGTGAAAAATGAATAACTAAAACCTTATTAATTTTTTTCCAATTTTCACAAAGATAAATAATTTAAATTGAGGTTTTCTTCGTTTTCATAAAAACAAATATAAAAAAAACAAAGAATGACAGACATATGACAGGCAAAACCGTAAGCAACCGGGCTCCTATGGCTGGTTACTATTTTGACAGTTCATTAACCAATTTCAGGAAACCGTGTTCCAAAACTAATCAGTTTTTCAGTAACCACGACTGTTTGGTTATTTATAGGCGGTTTTCTCTTGCACACTTTTATGTGTGGGGCGCATTAGACTGATATCAAACCTAATGCCAATCTGCAGTTACCCTTATGGCGGGCATACACGCTATGGTCTGTCTGTGCAGGTGTGCCTGCACAGGTAGACACGCACGGTACGACATAAAGCCGACCTGCGCAGGCATACCTGCACAGGTAGGCTTTTCCGGTAGACCGTTACGTGTATGCTCGCCATTAGAAAAGGCATACTCAGAAGTTGTCCTTATTAACGTAAAGAAGATAGCCAATATAAAGATACTTTTATTCTACTTTAGTGATGAAATCCTAGAGTTTCACTACCATATATTATTTCTTGGAAAGTCAAAAATGAAGATTCTGATTAAAAAATTACAAATAAGTTTGTTAAATAATAATCAATAAAGCTACAAAAAAAATTAAAGCATTTTTTTTTTAATTGAGTGAAAGAACAGTATAACTGCAAGTCATTTTTTTCAAATATCATATTTTGCATAATTCTATTTTTAAATTTATGTACATATTATTATCGGTTAACAAAAATTCTATAACTTCACAATACATAATGATGCCGAATAACCCATAGTTCTCCTTTAAAATAGTTTTTTTTTGTTTTTCTCAAAATGGTCATTTTGGATATGTATTGTTCTTTCACTCACCGATTCAGTTATTTTCGGACCATACCCTAAAATTGTTAACGTTTCCGCTAGAAGGCACGTCTGTATTTATCAGACGTGAATACTCTATCAGCTTCTCCTCTATTGTTTATTTCCCAATAATGATTTTTGCGTTACTTTATGGACACATTGTATATAAGAAACAAATCGTAATTATTTTAATGTCTAATATCACTTACATTTTTTTACAGATTCCAGTGGATTTGGAAAACTGGTTTATTTTTTACACCATTACGAATTCAAAAAGGAACAGTACCACGCAACTCAATAGGTTGTACTTCACTGAAGTATTACTACAGTTGACATTCTCGGAAATAAAAAATAGGTGCTGAAAGCTGTATCCTGGTCCTAAACTATCAGTTGCCAGCCAGTTTCTACAGAACGTTTTGAAGAGGTTTCAATGAAGATCTTATTTAAACGGAGAGTTCCATCATTGGAGGAAATAGGGTTTCCATACATAGTTTCCCTTGCATTCTATCTTTTATAACTTAATTTTCTACACAATACTTCTACATGCTAAAGAAATAATGTAATATATGTATTTCTCCAGACAGGTTATGAAAACCTGTATTTGTCTTATTTGTTTACACCTATATAGCAGAACCGATGTGATATTCGTGTTAAATATTTTGAATTTGAAGATGATTGAGAAGGCGTTTGATTTCAACCATTAGGCTATTTTTTTTTTGAAATATTCCGTACACACGAGTTTAAATTTAAAATGACTTGATCCTAGCTGTTTTGGACGGATTTAGAGTATGGTTGTAACAGGGACATTTAATGGAATCCTATGTAACAAATTATGATTTTTAATTGTTAGACATAGGCTTTGATAAAATGCCTTTATGGCGAAAGATTGTTCTTGCTTGGACCATTGGGCTACTGAAATGCTTTGAAGAGGGAACACAACGGTAACCTTGACAACTCGACTTTCTTGGCTCTCGCGCTTTTTTAAATTTGCAGGTTTGACTGCCGCACCATGTATATATCGCTTCAGTGTGCCATCTCATTAATTGTCGATTCAAACTTGCTCTATGAAATATAGACTTATGAGAGACAAACTGTCTTGAAGTGTTACCGTCTAATCCTCGCACGAACGTCGTCCGCGTTCAATTTCCAATGGTTGCCACTGCTATAACCCTACAAAGGCAATTTACCGACTCACGAGGATTTTCAGGTAATGCAAAAGTTTCGACTGTCTGATGAACAGCCCTGGCTCCGGTTTCGCTTCGAGTGGAGAAGGCGTGGTCCGTTTAGTACCAAAAATTCACAGGATTCTATTCTTTTGAGCGCCAGATCGGTTTAACTGCCAGATAAAATGCTTCCTTGTCTCCTACCTAAATCGATCAAACAATAGGAACGAAATGAGACAACAAAACTCCTGCTATACCTTTTAATAAATTTTATACCTTTACCCTATATAAATTGTTGACATACCTTCACCCTGTATAAATAACTGATATACTTTCACCCTGTATAAATAAATTGACAGACGTTCCCAGACTTTACCCTTAATACAGCCCTAACAATAACCTCAATATTAAAACAAACTAAACACATATGTCATCAAGAAATAAACACCTATAATATAGAAAAATGTACCCTGGTCTATAACATTTACTACTGTCGTAGCTAACACCAACTTGTGTATACAAATTACTATCTTTAGACCAAAAATGTTCACTATGTTGTAGTTATCCCCATAAATATATTAATTAAACACAGTAAAGTCCCCTGGACTCAAAATACAATACTTTACAACTAGGTTGTAGTTGGCGCAAAATAGATATGAATAATATATAATAAATATAGTAAAAATGGTCATGTACGAGTGGTTATGGCATTAATATATTGTATCTAAAACTAAAGTTGATGTCCCTAGGACAGAAATCAAACCTGTAACTACTGGGGTAGAAATCCCCTACCGTTTAATTAAAAATGTAACCAAAAAAATGTCAGGGTCATGGGCGTTGGTACCAAAGGCATGAGTGACTTTTAAATGCTATCTGCACAATGTAAAAGTTAAATACCGATACAAAGTTAACTTGATTTCAGTCGTACACTTTTACTACAACTTAATAATAATTTAAGACCATAAAATCCCTATGTAACATACTCTTGTATTACATATAAAAATCCCCTTCCCAAAAATATTAATGATTAAATAGAAATGTTCATTAAAATTTGATCAGCAAAATGTGCCGTTAATTTAATAATAAAGTAAATAAAACCTCCTTCTTGGAGTCAGTGTCCCCCGTTGGTCACTGCTGTAAGCAACAGTTTGTCCCTGCTACCATTCCAAATCCATGTAAGGTAAAAACACCTGCCTCCTCTGCAGACTGCTATAATTCAGCTAGTTCGAAGTTTCACCCTCTAAGGTGGAACACCAGAAACAAGTTCTATTTGGGACAGTTGGTTTAACTGTGCACTCCAGTAATAAAAACCCTAAAAATATGAAAGATTTTAATACCCAAGCGAGTTTTGGATATCAGTCTCCCTCCAAAAAAAAAAAGAATTAACTACATTAAATAATTTACCCACCCAGTCAAATATTTAAGGAACAAACCGGCTTCTTACTAACTGATTCCCCTCCTAAAAAAAACGAGTAGCAGAATGTACGCAGTTCTTTCTGGGTCTTTTTTTTTACTTCAGCTTCGATGACAAAAAAAGTCTATATAAAAAAGTGTTTTCTGTACAACTATTGAGAAAAACAATACATACCTTACTAATAAGGGTTTTCTTCAAAAATCACAGGTGATCGGCTTGGCTACGACTTAAAAAAAGTATATATCCCACCATGGGAGTTGGATGAAAAACTGTTTCAAAAAAAAAACAAATCCAGTTTTAAACGCCAGAACAAATAACCATACGACGGTCATCCACAAATGTAGGTTAAAGAAAAATAATCCCCATATACTGAGTTGGGAGTTACAACATCCCTGGATTTTCTAAAACCTAAAAAACTTATTCAAAAGTCGAAAAGCCGGTTCACTACACAGAAAAACTTTTGCGTGCTTGCTGGGTCAGGATTCACACACGACAAAAAAATGGTTCTAAATGCCTCCCATGTATGCTCTACTTGTAAGTCATACAATCCTTGTTCGATATGATCAGTAATGACTATGTTTCTTCTAGTTTCATCAGTCTGCCATGCTACAGTTGGTTTCGACATTTGGACAAATTCTTCAGGATAAGTATGCCAAACTATTGTACCATCTTGCATATTACAATAAAGAACAGATGTAAATCCTCCTATACCATCAGATAGACATAGAGAAAGTAGATGTCGAGTACCAGCTAGTTGGCGGTCTATTCCTAGATACACTAGTAGAGACAATAATGTGGAAGAGCTGTTAGCGTCTCCTCTAACTCGAAAATACACAGCAGGGTTAAAGGAGAGTGTATGATATCCTGATACGTCCAATTCCTCGTACTGGAGTCTTGCAGCAGAAGGTTGGTCTTCATTATACCCACATACATAATGAGGATTTGGTAGGATACCTTTCTTGATAATGGCTAAGTTAGGAGGATTAAGTGAGCCTATGATGCTGTTATCCTCTGAATATGTTCCCTCAACACCATTAGAGTCCTCCTGGTGCTTCATCTGCTTCTTTATCCCTATTACGTCTATAGAACCTGACATTTTCAATACATTCGGTGAGAGTTGTCACTACTACCTCAAGGTATGGTTGTTCAGCTTCTCCAAGATAAGTATCATTTATGGCATCAATGTGTACATTTAAATGTTGTCCAATCATCATATCCAAGAACCTACCATCATCCATATCGGAAATGGTATTGAAAGCTCTTTTCAGAAGAGTCAATTCTAATGTACCATTTTAGAACTCATTGTATTGAGATTCTATATAATCTACTGTGCCTTTCTCTGAGTTAAGAAGAGGGAATTTATGCAGTTCACTCTTATTGAAAATGTAGTCAACATCCTCATACCATTCTTCATCAGTATGGTCAAACATGGCAGTTGCAATTAAATACTCAATCCATTTTATGCAGGCGTTAGAGTAAGTGATAGTCGATGGTTCTGAGAGCTGTTTAACTATTGAAGGTACATCATATCTACTCCTGGGCCATGATCTAAAAACAGTTTTAGCTCGAGAGATTAAATGTGGTATAAGAATATTTGGCTCGTAATAACTCAATATAACTATTGTTCTATTCTTAAGATTGTCATACTTTTTGGAATATTCCCATGATACTCTCCCTATATAATAATAATAATAATTTATTTGCAGTATTACAGGTAAATTTGCATTAAATACATAAATTTTATCGAACAAAATAGTATAATACTACAAAAAGGGAATAGCAGACAGCATAGCTGATATTAATTGCTATCCCTAATAAAGAAAAGAAAAAAATTAAAATAATAAAATACAACGAATAAAGTGTGGCACAATCGAGACAAAAATATAAATACACATTTTATAAATGTAATATTACATTTTATTATAATATCTAATGGTTGTTTTGACTAGATATTTTCTGACATCAAGAGATGTTTTTACTTTTGCTTAAACATATTTGTCGAAAGATGTTTGAGTTTAGGAGGAACCAGGTTATATAGTTTAAATATCATATAAGAGAATGAACCTTGAAATTTGGAGGTACGATGGAGAGGTGGAGATATATGCCCTCTAAACCTTGTATGCACATTATGCACATCACTTCGAAATGTAATTTTATTATAGAGATAAGGAGGCGACTTTAATGAAATGATCTTATGATACAATGTTACCATGTGTAAATTCCTTCTAGTTTCCATATTTAACCAGTTAGTTTCAATTAGTTTGTGACTTATCCTTTCGTATTTTTTTATACCATATATGTAGCGAAGACAAGAATTTTGTACTCTTTGAATACGATTAATATCCACATAGTCAATACAAGGCCCGTAGACGACATCGCAGTAATTAAAATGACTGAGAACCATAGTATCACAAAGAAGTATTTTTATATTTTGATCTAAAACATGGCGATGCGGGTAAAGCATTTTCAAATTAGCGTAAGCCCTTTTTATACAATTATTTACATGGCTTTTAAATTTTAAGTCAGTATCAAGATGAAGACCCAGATTTTTGGCAACATCTACACAAGCCACCAAGACACCATCAATACTCACAGATAAATGTTCTGCTAGTTCTTTTTTATTTTTTCCAAAGACGAGTATTTGTGTTTTTGCGGGATTGATAGTTAGCTGATGTCTGTTAGAAAAATTTACGATTTTTATTAATTCTGAGTTAATCAGTTCATTAGTAAGAGCAACATTAAAATCAGACAAAGAAAACCTTATTTGCGTATCATCAGCATATATATAAACCCTGCCATTGGTAAGAGCCGAACTAATATTAGTAGAGTAAATGCAAAACAAAATTGGTCCCAAAATAGAGCCCTGTGGCACACCGCAGGCAATATTTTTAATATCAGATCTACCGGCACTTGTTTCAACAAACTGTGAACGATCGGAAAGATAGTTTTTAATAAATTCAGTTGCTTTAACCGAAAAACCAACATAGTGAAGAATACTGAACAGAAGCTGATGGTTAATTGTATCAAAGGCTTTTGTATAATCTAGAAGTATTAAAACGTTTGTATACCCTTTGTCTATATCCCTAAAGATATCATCAGTGACCTCTAATAATGCTGAAGTACAGCTGTAGCCACGTCTGAAACCAGATTGGCTGATTGGTAAAATATTGTAATTGTTGATGTGAGACTCTATCTGATATTTAATTACTTTTTCCAGAACTTTTGATAACACTGATAAGATTGAAATGGGTCGTAATTCACTAAAGCTACTAATATTGTTCTTTTTAGGCAATGGGAAAACTTTTGTGACTTTCCAAAGGCCTGGAAAAAAAGATTCCTTTATACAGGAATTAACAATATTCGTAATGAAAATTAAAATATACGGACAACACATAAGGAGCATATTAATTTGCAATCCATCAATTCCTATAGCCTGCGTTTTAATTTCGTTTAAATACTTATAGATAGTATTTTGATTAACTGTTGTAAAACTTAGCAAGTTACGGAAGTTGTCTTTAAAATTATTAGTATAGAAAAGAAGTAAATCTTGGTCAGCATCGGCACAGTTACCAGTTGCCAATAAAAAGTGATTGTTTATGTCATTAGGAACATTTAGGTTTTCAGGTAACTTTGATTTTGCAGGTTTAGAATTTATATTTAAATTCTTAAGTTTTTGCCACATAATACGGCTGTTTCTACCAAATGTATCAACGCAATATTTTAGATAACCTTTCTTTTCATTTCTAATAGCCACCGTAGTAAAATTTTTTAATTGTTTATAATATTCATAATGTGTCAGATTTTTTGTTTTTTTATACTTGCTAAGGGCATTATCTCTTAATTTTAAAAGTAATTTAATATTGTCTGTAAACCAAGGAGGTCTAGGTTTTTTTAGCCTCGTTTCTCGTAAGGGAGCGATTGTATCAAATAAACCAGTTAATAAATGATTAAAATACGAGACTTTATCATTAATGTCCTGCATATGGAAGATTTCTTCAAAGGGGGTAACATACAAAAAATTTTGTAACATATTTCTGTCAACACCTTTTAGATTTCTACTATATATCTTGTTGCAGATGGGACATCATTATAGCTCATTCCAGGCGGAATTTTAACCTGCTTATGTAGAAATGATATAATGTCCCCTAACCTATTGGACTCGTACAACCATTGACAGAGACCATACCAGGGGATTTGAGTTACGGGAGTTATAAGCAACCATTCAATTACATTATGTTTTGTGAATTCTCTAACATGTGCTTCAAGTGTTGATGTCGCTACAGAAATTAGGAATTCAGCCAAGAGGTCTGTTTGTAAACATTTCATTTCAGTTAACCCGACACTCTTTTTAGTTCCACTATCTGTTAATGTTGATAAAATATGATACTCTTCAGTTCCTGCGGCATGTGATCCAAATCTGTCTTGAACTTGCACTTTTCTGGAATACGTACTATCAAGTGCTTCTTGCATAACTCCAATGCTAGATATTCTGATCTTTTCTTCATCTGAAGCTTGAAGTCCCATCCTAGTAATGAGATTTTTAGATATGTAGTTGTCCAGACTCTTACATACAATTTCCTCTGCAATTTCTCCTATATTCGTTATATTCAATCTAACTGGTTCACAACGCTTGATCAGTTCCTCTTTAAATACCATAGGCACGTCTGGTATTGCTCTTGTGCAGTATTTACATTCTGTAGTCACTCCCCATATCATACTCGGGGAGGTTAGGTAACGACCCACCTCTAATTCACCCATAGATAACCAGGTTATGTGAGCATAAATATGCAAGAAATTGACTGCTAAATGGTCTACCGATGTTCGGAACACTATATGGGTGTTAGACTCGCCTTTAACTCGGGTTGTATAATTAGGTAGAGTGTTAGTGACAATCGACGCTCTATAGTCTCTACCTCGAAGATGGTGTTGTTGGGTTCCAGACCTACGAGGACTTTGAAAGGGCATTAAAGTCTTTAATGGAATGTCAGTGTATGCTGTCAAAATTTTGGATACTAAAAGATGTGCATTTGATATAATTTGTATTCCATTTTCATCATATCCATCTATATTTAACCAGGCTATTATATCCAGAATATCTTTAACCTTTGATACCAAAGTGTCTTTCTCGATGAAATGGACGTTTGGGGTTAAAGTTCCTGTTGGGGTGGTGTATCCTAAAAAAGGAGCATATGTCCCTGTCGAGTAATGCTCTGAGTAGCTACGAGGTAAAGCAAAAAGAGGAGGAGAAATCGAATACGTGAAGAATACTCGCTTGGGTATTAAAATCTTTCATATTTTTAGGGTTTTTATTACTGGAGTGCACAGTTAAACCAACTGTCCCAATTAGAACTTGTTTCTGGTGTTCCACCTTAGAGGGTGAAACTTCGAACTAGCTGAATTATAGCAGTCTGCAGAGGAGGCAGGTGTTTTTACCTTACATGGATTTGGAATGGTAGCAGGGACAAACTGTTGCTTACAGCAGTGACCAACGGGGGACACTGACTCCAAGAAGGAGGTTTTATTTACTTTATTATTAAATTAACGGCACATTTTGCTGATCAAATTTTAATGAACATTTCTATTTAATCATTAATATTTTTGGGAAGGGGATTTTTATATGTAATACAAGAGTATGTTACATAGGGATTTTATGGTCTTAAATTATTATTAAGTTGTAGTAAAAGTGTACGACTGAAATCAAGTTAACTTTGTATCGGTATTTAACTTTTACATTGTGCAGATAGCATTTAAAAGTCACTCATGCCTTTGGTACCAACGCCCATGACCCTGACATTTTTTTGGTTACATTTTTAATTAAACGGTAGGGGATTTCTACCCCAGTAGTTACAGGTTTGATTTCTGTCCTAGGGACATCAACTTTAGTTTTAGATACAATATATTAATGCCATAACCACTCGTACATGACCATTTTTACTATATTTATTATATAGTATTCATATCTATTTTGCGCCAACTACAACCTAGTTGTAAAGTATTGTATTTTGAGTCCAGGGGACTTTACTGTGTTTAATTAATATATTTATGGGGATAACTACAACATAGTGAACATTTTTGGTCTAAAGATAGTAATTTGTATACACAAGTTGGTGTTAGCTACGACAGTAGTAAATGTTATAGACCAGGGTACATTTTTCTATATTATAGGTGTTTATTTCTTGATGACATATGTGTTTAGTTTGTTTTAATATTGAGGTTATTGTTAGGGCTGTATTAAGGGTAAAGTCTGGGAACGTCTGTCAATTTATTTATACAGGGTGAAAGTATATCAGTTATTTATACAGGGTGAAGGTATGTCAACAATTTATATAGGGTAAAGGTATAAAATTTATTAAAAGGTATAGCAGGAGTTTTGTTGTCTCATTTCGTTCCTATTGTTTGATCGATTTAGGTAGGAGACAAGGAAGCATTTTATCTGGCAGTTAAACCGATCTGGCGCTCAAAAGAATAGAATCCTGTGAATTTTTGGTACTAAACGGACCACGCCTTCTCCACTCGAAGCGAAACCGGAGCCAGGGCTGTTCATCAGACAGTCGAAACTTTTGCATTACCTGAAAATCCTCGTGAGTCGGTAAATTGCCTTTGTAGGGTTATAGCAGTGGCAACCATTGGAAATTGAACGCGGACGACGTTCGTGCGAGGATTAGACGGTAACAGAAGCACTTACAGCGCATACTATAGTTACATTTTTCCCTCTTTCCCACGAAATTACTGATCCCACTTGCTTTGCCTTTTGCTGATTTCTGAACCGTTTCATCCACATTATAAATTCGACTCTCAGAAAACAAACTTTTCCATAACTGTGAACAGATCTCAACCTCAGATTTATTAAATGCTGAAATACGGCTTTGGTTGGTACATTATGGTTTTCGAAGATTAATGTTAAGGTGACACCTTATAAATAGTTCTAGCCAATCTTGACTGGACATTTTGTCCTGGTCGAAACGATGTTTTATTTTATTTGCTAAACGCCGCAGTTCTACTGATGTAATTTCAAAACACATACTCGCCAATTTTATAACATGGTTGGCTATGGCGGTTTCCTGTTTTTCATTAAAAACTGGTTTCCTTCCCAGTTTTCCTTTCTTATTTATACATATTTATCTTTATTTTGTCACGTACAGTGGATTGTGGATCGCTACTTCTCATATATTCGCTACGAATATTTATATGCTTAACCCTTTCACTGCCTCGTCGATCTGTAAGTTATACGGCGGTGCCCACATGCTATTTTTAATGTTTAAATAAAATATTATCACGTTATTTATTTATGTATTTATATTTACCTATATGTATCAAACTGTCAAAATTGACAAGAACACGCCAGGCGTGTTCGGGGCACATAGGCACACTATTCGGTTAAATATGCCCTGAACACTCCTAGCGTGTCTTTCCAGTAATTGTTAGTTGAGATAAAAGACAATTGGAAATAAAAGTCTATAATCAAAAAAAAAATATTTATTAACACAAAATACATTCATTTACTAAAATAAAAATAAAAGAAAAGAAAACAGGAAACAAGGAACTAAAATTCTTTGGTATAGTAAATAAAAGAAAAGAAAACAGGAAACAAGGAACTAAAATTCTTTGGTAGAGTAAATATAGAAAATTATAGTCTCTCATGAAAAAGTCTATAACAGGAATCCAAACAAAAACCCGGTTCAGATGGACACTGTGGACAGAACGTTATTGTTGCTTTTCTAACGTTTCTATTATCCCAACAATATTTACACCGACGTCTTTTGGTTTTCCCATCTTGGCCTCTTTCACAATTTTGGGGATAATGCTGACGTAATTGGCGTTCATTTTGTGGTTCCGGAGGGGATGGTAATAATTTTTCCAAGACAACCAACCGAAAATCATATAAATTAATTTTCCTGCTACCGTATTTATTGTACAAATAATAAGAATTTATGAACATCATTTGGAATACATGTAATCCTAATTTTTTGTACCATCGTAGGGTTTTATGGAGGCAGGCATAATAGGACATCATTTGGTCACCATTGTCGATGCCCCCCATAAATTTATTATATTCAGCGATGGTTTGAGGTTTAAACTTCCTTTGTTGTTTTTTGGAAACAGTTTCTACCATTTCTCCAGAATGTTCTGTAGAGATTGTCAAAACTTCTTTATTGTCCATCCATTTACTGATGCAAAGTCCTTGATTTGAATATAAGCAATATGTTTCTCCCTTTCTAAGTTTTTTTGATATCACTTCTGTTGGATTTCCAATTCGTTTTGGTCTTAGGGTACCAGTAATATAGATTTTCTCTGCTAATAATCGTTCTGATAACTCTACACTATTATAGAAATTATCCATGTAGACAGAGTGGCCTATACCTTTTTTTCCTTCCAATAATGTATGGACAACTTTTTGCACATGATTTTTCCCGCCAACAGTTGCATCTGAAGATCCCCGTAAACTTGAATCTTCTGCGTCATTCCTTTCGGATCTGCTAAACAATAAAGTTTTATACCATATTTATGACGCTTTCCTTTCATATATTGCCAAAATGAAAGGCGACCAATCCATTGCACCATAGATTCGTCAATAGCTAGTTCCTTTTGTGGGTAATAAATTTGGGCCATTTTTGAATTAAAAAATGTAACTAGAGGTGTTATTTTAGACAGTTGATTTCCGTCAACCGAGTTGTCATTAAAGTGCAAAGCTCGTAAGATCAACAAAAATCGATTCCTGCTCATAAACTTTGCAAAAGAAGGGAGATTGAAAAGGTAATGGGTTCTCCAATAATCGTTGATCCTATTAATTTTTATAGTCCCCATATGAAAAAAGAGGCCTAAAAACGTTCTAAACTCTTCCTTAGTAACATCTTTCCATCGAGTTATTCTACTCTGATCACTCGTACTATTGACTAGTATTTCAACTGCATAACTGTTAGTATTTTCAACGATTAATTGAAAAAAATGATCGTCGAATAATAAATTAAAATAATCTAATGGTTCCCTAGCATATAACCCTGCTTTCAACCCAGTATTTCCTCTAAATGGTATTTGAGTTACCTGTGGGCGTTCTGGTAACCATAGCGGAACAGCAGGCGCAGCAGCAGTTGTTTGAACAGCAGTCAGAATATTACTATCATCCCAACCTTCTGAATCACTGACAACTTCATTTTCTATATCAAAATCTTCATCCGATTCATCAAATTCGTCAGATGAGTTTTCCAACATCTTCAAAAGTTGTTCATCACTACAAGGTTTTTGTTTATCTAACTTCACTTTTTTTTAAACGTTGATGGCTGATTTTCATCCCGTTCCATCTTTGAATTATACCTAAAACACTACAATGTATTATTCAGATATTATTTGCAACTATTTTTATTTATATATGCCGAAAACTTACCTCAATCTACTCAAAATATCACTTTATAGATGAACACTACAGTACGCAGACAAGTATCTACTACTACCGCTCAAAGACAACTAACCTCAAAACCACCACATGGTTATAATATTTTATGCTATTTTAGATATGCCCCCAATCGCCCAGTATCGTACTACATGTGCCTAAAACGTGAAACTCAATATTAGCTAAATACCTTCGGAACACATCAGGTGTGTCCGGGGCACCTTGTAGATATCTTACTGAACACGCCAGGCGTGTTCTGGGCAGTGAAAGGGTTAAATTATAAAAAATAAAAACTATTGACCGAATAAACCAAGGAACTTTCTATTTATATAAAATTCTACTACGGTCATAAAATTATCCTCATTTGAATATTTATACCTATGTTTCTATAAGTTACTGCGTTACTGCCAAACTGAAAAGGAACTTGTTGGTGCAAAACTTGCTGATTGCCTTAACATAACCTACCTAGTGTAACGCTGCCATATTGGGAACTGTCAACATAATGAGTAAATGGAAATCTCCGCCAGTGGACGAGTGTTGGGACACTGTAAATAATGTGACTATATCTACCACCCTAATATAGAGAAATGTTCCTCCTATTGAATTTCGATACATCATGTTCCTCGTACAATAGTTTACAAAAAGCCGCCAACTCCACTAAACTGACATATTTATTATTTTTGCGGTTACCAGGATGGCAGAATATTTGTGTAGCTCATTCCAGGCTAACGGTATCGGATTTTCTTGAATTATATGTTTTTGAATTAAATTGAAATTTTATATTTC